ACCAGTGAAGATTGAGTTGGTGGAAGACACTTGTGGAGTCCCAAGCAGTTCCTCTTAAAGAACCCACACATGGACTCACCTATTCAGACTAACTCCCTCTGAGCTTGATCACCGGGGTAGCAGCTTGAAAGGCACCAGTGGCGTATAGGGAGGAACTGAAGTGTCTGGCATCAAAGTGAACAGAGACCATTGGCCCTTGGCTAAACCCTCTCACCACAGATCCAGCAAACTGGTGCCATATTGAGACTTCATCCACCTGGCAAACACTGTTTGATCCTCTTTGGAGATCCCCAGAGGCTCTGCCCCACCCAATTTATGGGCCCACCAAAGCTGATTTTCCATAAGAATGGCTGTTCTTGGCTCCTAAATCCTATCAAACATGCAGCAGCTGGCTTCAGTGACCACTAGAGGCAGCCAGATTAGAGTTACAGTTTGGCCTGGCCTTGGAATCTCCAAACCCAGCACAGGTAGCAGCCATCTCAGATTGCTTCACAGCTCAGGCAGGGTGCCCTGTGAAAAACACAGGTGGGGGCTGCCCTTGGCCTACACCATCTGGGAAACCCCAGGGTTAGAGCACCCAGTGGACAGCTACAGACCATGTCGGAACACCAGCACCCTGCCCCCTGCACAGCCGCTCCTTCACAGACAGTAGAGTTTGGTGGTCGGTGGTAAGAGCTGGTCTTTGCAGCTGACTGGCCTGAGTAAATCCCTCCCATTGATCTTCTAACAGCAACCAAAGCTCAACTACAAGAGGAGGGTTTACTCAGCCCACATCAAGGGCACACCTCCAGTACCCAGCTTGTGTGATGGGGAGAAAGTGCCGCTAAACCCTGCAGGATGCATACTGCCTTAGGTCACACTACCAAGACATTGAGTCAAAGCAGCTTGACCTGATACATTAAAAACAAAGACAGGGAGGCTGCCAAAACAAGAGACAAAGAAACATGGCCCAAATAAAAGAACAGACCAAAACTCTAGAAAAAGAGGTAACCAAAATGGAGATAAGCAGTCTATCAGATGCAGAGTTCAAAGCACTGGTTATAAGGATGCTCAAAGAACTTAGTGAGGACCTCAGCAGCATAAAAAAGACCTGTCAGAAACAAAGGGATACACTAATTGAAATAAAGAACGGTTTACAGGGAAACAACAGTAGAGTGGATGAAGCCGAGAATCAAATCAATGATTTGGAACATAAACAGCAATGTAGAAAAACAAGAAGGAAAGAAAGAGTCCCGAAAAACGAGGATAGTATAAGCAGACTCTGGGACAACTTCAAAAGGTGCAACATTCACATCATAGGGGTGCCAGAAGGAGAAGAGAAAGAGCAAGAAATTGGAAATATATATGAAAAAAATATTGAAACAAATCTTACCTATTTGGTGAAGGATATAGACATGCAAGTCCAGGAAGCACAGAGCTCCAATTATGATGAATGCAAAGAGGCCCACTCCAAGACACATCATAATGAAAAGGCCAAAGGTTAAGGAGAAACTCTGAAAAGCAGCAGGAAAACAAAGTTAGTTACCAGATGGTTGCCAGTTGGGGGGGGGGAGGGGGAGGGGGAGAAATGGGTGAAGGGGAGAGGAGATTAAGAAGTACAAATAGATAGTTACAGAATAGCCATGGGAATGTAAAGTACAGTATAGGAAATGGAGTAGCCAAAGAACTCAATACGTTTGAACCATAGATGTGAACTATGGTGGGAGGATTGCCTGAGGGAGTAGATGGTGCTGGGTGGAGGGGGCAAAGGGGAAAAAAATCAGAACAACTATAATAGCATAATCAAAAAAATAATTAAAAAATAACATTTAAAAAAGAATTGACATCTTTACTATATGGAGTATTTCAGTCCATGAATATGAAATGTTACTGTTTAGACCTTTGATTTCTTTCATCAACATTTTGTAATTTTCAGTAAACAGATCCTATACATATTTTAAATATATAGAAACATATTTCATATAGAAATGTGTTTATATTTTCAGTGTTCGTGTTTTATCTGTTGACCTTGATGAACTCACTTGTAGTCCTAGGAATTTATGTAGATTTTCAGTAGCATTTTAAGGTTTGTTTTAAAGTATTTTATCTTTTTGTCTATTGTGTATATTAATTTCTTACATAATAACCAAATATTGTGGCCCTTTAGGATGAAAGCTGTTGATGTCTATATATTAAATTTATACCCAGTCACTTTGATGAATTTTCTTATTGTAATTTTTTTTTCAGTTGGTTCTTTCGGATTTTATAGCTAAAGTGTGTTATAATGTGTAAATAGTTACAGTTTTCATTTTTTCTCTCTTGTTTAACTGTCTAAAATCTCCAGAACAGAGTTTAATAATGGTGATAAAGGACATTCTTACTTTCTAACTTCGCCTTAGAGTTTCAGAATTGATTGCTTTGGGTTTCAAGGTATTGTACCCATGTAGGAATTCATCTTATAATTAGAGAGAATGCAAATGAACTAAAATGTGTAGTGAATTACAGTTCTCTCTGGTGTTCTGTTGGGCTGTTTTGTTAAGTCTTTGGGAATCTGAAGGTTCACAAAATGTATTTATTATGAGGCCTTCCTACTTTAGAATATGTAAAATGGTGAATATAATTAAATTTTTTTGGAGATTTTTACAGTGCCTTATTTTGTTCATTCTTTTATTGTACTTGTAAATTTAGAAAACATTGCTGGTAGGACTGTGTTTTGATCTCAGGCATTTCCTGGAAATTGATTTTTTAAATGAATTTCTTTATTTTAAGGAGAACCCTTACAGATTCTTTGGGAAAACTTATTTCTTGTCATTTGCTTTTTGTTTCTGAATTGAGGATTACAAAACAAATCTAGTTAATAGGACACCCCATGTGTATTCTCCTAAATGGACAACATGTCTTTATACATAGCTCCTACTTATGAAAGTTCATTGTGGTTATATTTCAAGGCTACTTTGCAGAAAGTTTTATTGTACTTGCTACATTTAAGAATAAAGATTTTGATTCTTTAGTTTGCTTGCCATGTAAACCAAATGACTTTAGGGTTTGTCAATGTAAGAAATGTCCAAATCTGCAGAGAGTTTTTATAAGAGATTATTTAAGCCAAACTTAGAGTTGCCGGAAATCAAGATCTCAGATTCTTTGGATCTTGAGAGATCCAATGCTTTTGGAATTAAGGAGGGAACATAAAGAAAATTACCTTAGGGTGGGAGAAAGCAAGGCACAGTATGATTAACAAGATTATTTGCTCCTTGAGAGGTCTGGAACAGAGGATTACTTCTGGCATCTCAAAGGTGTGTTAACCTAAATGCACAAGAAAAGTGGACAGGACTTGCTTAAACCTTACCCTGAAGGAGTTACAGGCCTGGAGCATGGCTAACCACCATGTTAGGAATTTATGATCATATCACTCTGTGAAGTTACTTTCCATCACTGGATTTGTCTATTTTATTACAGAACCCCATTTTTGTTCACAGGTTCAAGTTCTTATATATTTTTTTACTAGTCTTAATTTTTTGGTAGTAGAAAGCACATGAACTTTGGTGGTAGAGTGACCTCAGTATAAATTCCAGCTGCTCTTTATATATGGACTAATGGCTTTGAATAAGTTACCTAATCTCCGAGCAGCCTACTTCCCACATCTCTAAAGTGAATATAAATGATTAGTATTGTTTCCTTTTTCAGAATTGGGTGTTAATAGCATAGTTTATAATTTCAGTATTTATAAACATTCTAGCTCAGGTCATTCTGTGATAGGCACATGCCCAGATTTGGTGATCCTTAAAGTTTTGTGTTTGTTATTACTCTCAAAACTTTGAAAACCCTTAGAGAAATCCTGCAGCAAAGTCACGTGATTTATGAAACTAACAGACTAATTCTTAGTTTAATTAGAAGTCTTGGACAAGTCTGTGTACCCACATATATGAACACTAAGTACACCTTTTAACTTTTATGGTATGCAGGTCCTCCTACTTTGCTCTTCTCCTGCTTTTCCCCAGTAAGAATTTTGAATCTCAGGAGATTAATGAGCATAACATGTACCCTGGCTCCTTCCTATTTTAATATTTCTAGTTGGATTGCCAATAATAATTGCCTTATTTGGATATGTAACTAAATGTCTAAAATAAGCTTTTATACCATGAATTAGGTAGAGGGTCAAGGACTTATTGCAATTCATTTTAGAGAGATATTTATGACCTCTGAACGTGTGTTTATAAAACACTTAAGAAAATTTAAATATCATCAAATATTCATTAAGCATTTATGTGCATAGCACTTTCTAGGAAATTACAGAAATATAAAAGTATGCTCCAGTTCTGAATTTCTTGTTTTCCAGGGTAGTCTAGTTAGAGTTCAGAACAACTTGCAATATTGAAATGTTAGATATTAAGCAATTTAAATGTAAAACATTACCAACAATGTATGCTATTTAAGTCAGAGATTTTGTCCTGTTTATTTTGCACAAAGTATGGTGAATTTTGGTTTCCTCACCTGTGAAATAGCAATAAAAATTTCCTATGCGGGATCATTATGATGTCTAAATGAAAATGAATATGTAAAACCCAATTATAATGCATAAAATCCACATATATTCTTTCTGTACTTAATTAAATATGCTTGTAATAAAAAAAGTAAGGTATGTTATGTGACAAAAATATGCAGGTAGAAGAAAATGAAAAGTAAATCTCACCCCAGGCTTTAGGTTCTTCCCCATGCATTTATGTACCAAGAGCACAACTTTGAATATTTTCCAATGATTATTCTATGTACATATACAGTTATATTTTTACAGTACATAAGTGGGACCATACTATGTATGTTTTCTTGGTCCTCCTTTTTCATTAAAATAGATTTTGGCAGTCTTTACTATCAGCAAATGCGTGGTTTTTTTTACATTCTTTTATTGTTACTGATTACTGAATGTTTTATTGTTTGAGTGTATAATAATATAACCTCTCTTTTCCCCCGGCACTTGTTTAATGTGTTTAAAATATGTTAATTTTAAACTTTTCTCTCCTTAGGGGTTAACTCACTATCCTGAAAGTCCATCCTCCCAAGAAGAAGGGACAGAAAGAAAGGCCTCTTTGTAAGAAAGGCTTGTGTATCCCATGAACGAGACAGCGAAAAACCGGTTGGAGTGCAGCAGGACTCCAGAGCCAGAAATACGGCTCAGAAAAGGGCACCAACTTGATGGTACGGGGAGAGGTGATAATGACAGCCACCAAGGAGATTTGGAGCCTGTTTTAGAGGCATCTGCTCTTTCTACCCGTCTCAAAAAAGTAAGTTGAGGTGGTAGGATGGTAAGTAAAACAAAAATTTATGAGAGTGTGGCTAGAGAGAAGGTGGGGTTTTGAAAAGGAACCTTAAGCACATTTGTAATTTTTGTTCATAATAATTTGAAGTCTCTTATTCTTAAATCAGCTAAGGATTACTCAATTTTCTAGTTCTGCCTTTTCTGTTGACACTTAAAATCATACTTAAACTGCTTTATCCTGTTTGAGAAAGGAAATGTGTTGTGTAGTGCTTTAGTGATGACATTATTGTTTATATTTTTGGGGAAATTCTAATAGTATGCTAGGAAAACTTCTTCAGGTATGGTTTATCTCTGGTGTATACCTTGGAAGTCAATAGAGTACTGGGGAAAGAAGGCAGAGTTTAATCTTTTACTTCCCAGAGAGAAGAGCAGCCTTTAAATTATTCAGGCAATTATAAGATACCTAGAGAAAACAAAGGTAGAAATATCTGTAAACTGCATCAGAAAGTCATTGCTATAGACATTTTGGTATGTGCTTTGGAATCTTGGAATTACGTAGCATGCGTTCAAGGCTGTGGCTCAAATTGTTGGTTGTCCCCATTAGTAGTTTGTGAAATTAATTTTGGTACTACAAGTAGTGTTTAAAAAATGAAACAGGAAAAGTAGAATATTATTGAGCTAAATGTATACAGTAATATACAATTAAACTGTTATTTGATGAAATTGTTTAGTTTTATATAGATGCATATATATGTATATAGATTGGAATAATATGCATTTCCTACTGTGGGTCATAGTTAAAAAACAGTTGGAAAGTCTCTGTTTTTGAAACTGCATGTTTACCATTGTAAGAGATATGCTAATAATGTGGGTAGTAGTGGTGCTGGTTTGAACTCTGGAGGGTTGTCTTGTCCGTTGAAATCTTATAAAAGATTTCACCAGGGCTTTGTAGCAATATAGGCTATTCTGACAAGAAATTTAAGGTAATTTCTTCTTTTATTCTTGGTAACACTTTGTAAACTAAGATTATGCTAGATCATGCTACAGTGACTGCTCATTTAGATGCATTCCATGTACACAGGCAGATTAGTAAATTATAGGATTAATAAAAAACTATTTGCCTACATTAACTATAAGTACAATTTGGCCTTTAATTTAGCATTACTGCTTAAAAAGAAGTTTGACAGATATCTTGGGCAAGAAATTCCTTTCACATTTAACACTTCGCTTTTTTGTTGCCATTCTAACAGTAATATGTACTAGCAGCTAAGACATCCCTATTTGGGCTGAGCAAGCTGTGTTTCTCTCAGTTGTTACTAAGACCTAAATAGTTGTATTCAGCTAATGAGAATTATCATTAGGTTTGGATGAGTGCCATTTTTTAAATTTTTTTTTTTTGTAATAAACACATAACATGAAAGCTACCCTTCTGCCTTCCAAAGATGTGCATGTTAGGTTAATTGGCGCGTTTACACTGTCTCGGTCTGAGTGAATGGGGGTGTCTGTGAGTGTACCTTGTGGTGGAAGGGTATATTCTCCAGGGTAGATTACTTCCTTGTGCTGGTAGAGGCTCCGGCCACCAGTGACGCTGAACTGGAATAAGTGCGTTGGAAAATCATTCTCCTACTTGTTTTTATTAATTGTTCTTGGACGCATGTATAGCTCATACTTATTTAATTGTTTAATAAGTGTTTGGGTCTTTGTTTAGAAGTTTGGTAATGTTTTTGTGACTAGTGGTAATGTTTTCGCTATAGGAACTGAATTCTTACTTATATTAATTAGCTGATGGTATAACTGGTTTTGTTAGATGTCATTTCACTTAAAGTTGCAGAGTTTCAGACTATCAATAAGAGACAAGAGGAAATGAAGGATACAATTCTCAATTGAAGAACACAGTAGAAGGAATCAAAAGCAGGCTAGATGAAGCTGAGGATTGAATCAGTGAGCTGGAGGATAAGGTAGAGAAAAGCTCCCAAAAAGAGCAAGAAAATGAAAAAAGACTCAAAAAGAATGAAGAGGCATTTAGGGAAATGCAGGACAACTTGAAATGGAATAATATCCATATAATAGGGATACCATAGGAGAAGAGGATAAGGAAGGGATAGAGAGCCTTTTCGAAAAAGTAATGATGGAAAACTTCCCTAATTGGAGGAGAGAGTCACACAAGTCCAGGAAGCACAGAGGGTCCCATTCAAGAGGAACACAGTGAGGCCCACTCTTAAGACACATCATCATTAAAATGGCAAATATCAAAGATAAACAGAGAATCCTAAAGCAAGCAAGGGAGAAAGAGGTAGTAACATGTAACGGAGCCCCGATATAGCTATCAGCTGACTTCTCAAAAGAAACACTGCAAGCCAGAAGGGAGTGGCAAGAAATATTCCAAGTCATGAAAACAAAAGGACTGCAACCACGACTGCTCTACCCAGCAAGGCTCTCAATGAAAATGGAAGGCGAAATAAGGAGTTTCCCAGACAAAAGAAGGCTAAAAGAATACACCTCCACCAAACCAGCATTGCAAAATATGCTAAATGGACTGCTTTACAAAGATGAGGAAAAAGAGCCTATGAATACACAGTTCCTTTCACAGTTGCCAATACTTGATATTACCAATATTTTTAATATTAATCTGATTGAGACAATGATGTGTTATTTTAATTGTTCCTTTATTATTTGTTGAAACTAAACCTGTTTTTGTATATTTCTTGCCTATTTCTATTATTTTTAAAAAGCTTTAAATGACTTTTTGGTATTCTTTATCCATTTATTGATTAAAGGTTTGTAGAATTTTTTTCCCCTAAAAAAACAACCATTAACCCTTTTTTTAGATGTGTGGCAAATACTTTCCCATTCTATTACTTGTTCTTTAACTTTTTTTAGTATGTATATTACTCTATAGCCTTAAATGTTTAATATAGTCATATTGTCAATATTTTACTTTATAGCTTCTGAGTTTGAATATTTTACTTCAGGGTAAGAAAAATATTAGTTTGTATTATTTACTAAAACTCCTTAGATTCTACATATTGATTTTTAACTCACCTGAATATTTCTTGTATAATGTGTGAAATAGGGCCCTATATTTATCTTATTTCATGTAATAGTGGTCCATGCACCTTATTTGTTGAATAAGCCTTATTATCCTCATTGATTTGAAATGTCAATTTAATCATATATTACATTGTTAGATATATGCATTTGTTTCTAGAATGCTCATTATATTTTATTGATTTACTTGATTATTTCTGTGCTGGTGTCATGTTTTAATTACTGAGACTTTATAATGGTTTTACATTTTTTATTATTTTATAATTGACTTTGACATTTAAAAAATAAATAACATCAATCTGCATTTAAAAAAGAAAGCAAAAGAAAGATGGAACTCCTACCTTTTGCAACAGCATGGATGGAACTAGAGAACATTATGCTAAGTGAAATAAGCCAGTTGGTGAAAGACAAATACCATATGATCTCACCTGTAAGTGGAATCTATTCAACAGAATAAACTGATGAACAAAATAAACCACAGGCATGGAAACATGGAGCAGACTGAAAGTGACCAAAGGAGATGGGGAAGGAGGACAGTGGTGTAAAGAAGGGGAAGGGACTAGACAAAGAACATGTATTAATAACCCATGGGCATGGACAACAAAGTGGGAATTGACTGTGGGAGCAGGGGGGTGGGGGTGGGATGGGTGGAAGAGAGCAAAAAGGGAAAAATTAAGACAACTGTAATAGAATAAACATGATTTAAAAATGAAAAGAAAAATTGGAGTTTCTGAAAACCTATTTATGTCAAGTGAGGACTTAGTGTATATTCACATTGTTGTACGGCGGGTCTCTAGAGCATACTCACCTTATTTGAAACTGTACCAGTTGAATAGCAACTCCTTATTTTCCCTTCCCCTCAGTCCCTGGCAACCACTATTCTATTTTCTTCTGCTTCTGTGGGTTTAACTAGTTTAGATACCTTATCTAAGTGGAGTCATGTAGTATTTGTTCTTCTGTGATTGGCTTATTTCATTCAACATTGTCCTCAAGGCTTGTCTGTTGTAGCATATAACAAGCCTTTTTTTTAAGCTGAATAATATTTATTACATTGTATCTAACACATTGTCTTTATCCATTCTTTCACTATGGACATTTAGGTTGTTTCTGCCTCTCCGCTATTGTGAATAATGTTGCAAATATCTCTCAAGATACTGTTTTCAGTTCTTTTGGATAAATACCCAGAAGTGGGATTACTGGTCATATGACAGTTCTATTTTTAATTTTTTGAGGAACTTCTAGACCGCTTTCCACAGTAGCTGCATTATTTTACATTCTCATCAACAGTGCATAAAGGTTCTGATTTCTCCACAGCCTCACCAACACTTACTTACTTTTTTTGATAATGGCCATCCTAACAGATGTGACATGGTATCTCATTATAGTTTTGATTGGCATTTTCCTGATGATGCGTGATGTTGAGCATCCTTTTCATATACCTGTTGGCCACTTGCATGCCTTTGGAGAAATGTTTATTCAAGTCTTTTGCCAATTTTTAAATCAGATTATTTTATTTTTTTTGCTGTTGAGGTCCTAGGAGTTCCTTATGTATTTTGGATAGTAACCCTTATAACGTATGTGGATTGCAAATATGTTCTTCTATACCATAGGTTACTTTTTCACCCTGTTGTTTTCTTTGCTGTAAAGAAGCTTTTTAGTGTAATGTAGCCCTGTTGTCTAATTTTGCTTTTGGTGTCATGTCCAAGATACCATTGCCAAGATCAGAATTATGAAGCTTTTCCTTTGTGTTTCCTTTGGACAGTTGAAGTCTCAGGTTTTATATTTAAAGTATTTTTTAAGTCATTGTAAAGTGATTTTTTTATATGGTGTCAGGTAAGGCTACAGTTTCATTCTTTGGCACACCATTTGTTGCAGAAACTATGTTTTCTCTATTGTGTAGTCTTGCCACTCTTGACAAACATCATTTGACTATATATGTGTGGGTTTATTTATGGGCTCCTCTATTCCGTGGGTCCC